AATGTGATTTTTATTATTGTTTTTAGAATTAAAATGACCTCTATCAAATATATACTCATTTCCAAAATCTGGAAAAATATAGAAAGTGGACATACATAGACACTCTAAACTATAATCATGACAAATAGAGTTACCCACTGTTGTGACACATTTCTTGAAATTCTGGGCATTTTTTTTTTTTTAAGATCTTATTTTTAATCTCTACACCCAACATGGGGCTCAAACTTACAACTTCAAGATCAAGAGTTGCGTGCTCCACTGACTGAACCAGCCAGGCACCCCTTGGGGCACTTTTTTTTTTTTAATTAAAAATGAAATTTTTTTAAACGTCTATTCATTTCTGAGAGACAGGCAGAGTGCAAGCAGGGGAGGAGCAGAGAGAGACACAGAATCCAAAGCAGGCTCCAGGCTCTGAGCTGTCAGCACAGAGCCCGACATGGGGCTCGAACCCACGAACTGTGAGATCATGACCTGAGCCAAAGTCAGACACTTAACTTACTGAGCCACCCAGGTGCCCCAAGGGGCACTTTTTATTATATAGAAGAGAGATTTCTAATTTCTTACTTCAGCAACCTCCAATAGCATTTCACATTGACTCAATTCTTCCATTAACCTCTGTCATTGGGCACCACATCTTCCAGATTCTCTTATTTTGTTGGGCCCTTTCTTTATTGCCTTCACGTTAGCTTTCATCAGGGCCAGCCCTCCATCATTTTGCTCTATATGCTTTCACTTCCATAGTATTACTAAGTGTACTGTGAAATTCACAGAATCTACATTTCCTATTTTGATTTTTTCACCTTCTAGGCTCCTAAATGCAATAACTTATGGGTAACCTATTCTTTGATGTCCTACAGGCACCTCGTATCATCCTTTCTGCAACACAGAACTCATGATCTTCCTTGTTAAACTTGCTCTTTCAGTGGTAGTTTCTCTCCAGGTTATAGCATCATCCTTTGCCCAGTAACCGAGGCCAGAAACCTGGGGATCTTTTATTAGAGTGCTTTCTCTTCCCAAGTCCTACACCCCATATCCAGTTCTGTTGATTGTGCTTCCTGTGTATCTCTTGAATTTGTCCACTCTTCTTCATCCCTACTGTCTTTACCTTCTTTAGTTACTAATCATATCTAGCCTAAGTACTGTAGCAACACAACAGTCTGTCTTATTTATAACTAGCCTGTGGTAACAGTTTACGAAGTGGAGTGTAGTACAGAATTCCCCACTTAGGTAATGATGCTTCATTGCTATGTCAAATTTATGCCACAGGTTGAGTCATCTTTTCTTTACAACTGCCATATCCCTTAACTTTCCATCCTGTTAACAGCACCTCTAAATACATCAATTTTACCCTCTCCAACCTCTTGCCCACACCATAGTCAGAATGATTATTCTAAAGAGCCAATCTGACTTGTCATTCTTTTGCTCAGTCTTTAAACAGCGCTTCTCATTGCCTCCAGGATAAAGTCCAAAGGGCCCTCTGTGATTGGACTCCTGCTTCCCTCCACCCATCTCCAGCCTCACCTGCTGCATGGCATGCTACAACTACTCTCAATTACTTCAAGTTTCCAATTATTGCAATGTAATGGAATTACATCTGCATCTTGTTACATGCTTCCTTTTGGAAGACCCCCTTTCCTGACATAACCTTTACCTGTCAGTCTTACTGTATCAGATTTCAGCTTACTAACTCCTTTCGGTGGAAGGATTTTTCTGTTCTTCTACCTCCCCAAATTAGGGAAGTGCTTCTAGAACATTTTGTGCTCATCCCTTCTTGTATTCTAATTGTCTTGTCTACCCATCCTTATTATATCCCTCTATAGTCTGTAAGCTCCTTGACGGCTCCTTATGTGCTGTTGGAATCCCTGAAGAGAGGGCTTTGCATACCTTATGCTGTTTAGTCAGCACGACCACCCTTCATAGTGGGTACCACATTATTCCTGTTTTACAAGTAAGTAAGCAAAGAGAGTTGAAGAAACTTGTCCTGAGTTACCAAAATAGATAAAAACCAGACAACTTGATGCTAGAGCCAGTCCATCACTAAATCCTTCACCTTCAAATTCCTTCTCCACATGTTTTGGCATTGACCTAAAATATTCTTCTTTACCATCCATCAGGTCCCTAGGCATGCCTGCCTGTCATAGCCTCTGTCATGTGGCTCCTATCTGCCCTGTTGGCCTGGTACCAGCCACTCCCCAGGACTTGATGCTGCTGTTGCAGAAATACCACCGACTCCACACGGTCCCGTCCTTCTCTAAGTGTTGGTCTGTCTACCAAAATGCCCCTTGTCACCTTACCTTTCTGGAGAAATCCTGTTCCTCCTTCAGAACTTACTCCATAAGTGTTCCTGTTCACTCTTTCCCCATCCCTTTGCAGACACCGTAGCGACTCCTGCCTCCATTCTCAGAAGCTGTGCCACTTCGGCAAGTTACTGCTTTAGTTTCCTCACTTGGACAATGGCAGCAGTAAGACTGCTTTCTCATGGAGCTGCTGTGAGGGTGTGTTAAGCACTCAGCATGGGGCTTGACACACCTTTAAGTGCTCAAAACATTTAGCAATTATTATTTGCTCATCCCCATTCCTCTATGTAGCTAGGCCTACTTGGGTACTACCCAAGTTCAACACGGTAGCATGATTTCTTCACGTGGAAAAAGGAAGCACCCACATATCACTTTTATTTTAGCACAGCACCTGGCATATTTTGGGCTTTTATTAAGTAATCAAACTGGACAATTTCATTTCCACCACCAGTATTTACCTAATGATTGCAGCCCTTTGGATGTTCCCTTCTTGGGATTCTTTTACTACAGATGGACTGATGATATGCTGCCTTGCATTATATGTAGAAGCATCGTCTCAATGAGGCTTCAAGTGCCTCCAGGGCAGACACCATCTCTTACATTGTCTATCTGCCCAACAACAGCTAATATTTCTAACTGCAAAGTGGGTGTTCAGCAGTTACCGGTGAATGAAAATATTCTTGCCCAAGCACGGGAGGCCTCACCTCATTAGTAAGTCCCCAGTCTCTTAAAAGTTAGCTAACAACCCTTCTCCTGATTCTCCTTCCCTTAGAATTCTGCTTAGAATTTGCATTTATTTGTATGCCTCTGTCAAGTCCTAGCTTCCCTTTCCTAGTTAATCCCCATCAAGGCCCAGTAGAGGGCACTATACACCCGAGGATTGCTCGTGTGAGTACTGCTGGCTCACTGCAGATATTCTCAATGGAAAGGCTCCAAGTTTTTTTTATTTTGCCTGCATTTTCCATGCCCGGGCCACATTAGCTTAAAATAAATGCTGCTGGACAATAATCATGGTGACTTCATCCCTGCCACCCTGTATATCAGATGGTCAAGACGACTGTCAGTACAATCATCACTCAATTATGTTGGAGGAGTGGAAGAACCCTTACCACACTCTTTGGGATGTGGGCAGGAATAGCTACTTGAGGCACTGCAGAGCAATCTGTCCTGCTTGCCTGGCCCCGTAGTATGGGGGTGAGGGAGAAGGAATGGCAAGGTGCTACACTAAAATAGAGATAGCCACAGTCCTTTCTCAGCCCCTCAGGATCCCTCAAGGCTACAGCTTAGAACTAAGGACCAGGGAAGCCAGGAATATTGGAAAAGTCATATATATAAGCCAAGAGACTATCTCGATCTCTTCAGCAACCTAACTTTGCCACCTCCTAAATAATTTCTACACTTCAACTTTTTCTGTATTAAAACGAACCTGCACCAAATGATCCCACATTCAGCCTCACTGATCTCACTCCCCAGCTGTATGCACCTGGCAAACATACACTAGGGAAGTCATGCTCAAAAAGAAGTCATGGGATTGGCTGAAGGGGAATAAAGATTAGAAGACTAACCCCACACTACAGTAAACATTCTATTTGTGTGTGTACAGCTCCTAGCTTTGAGTTTGTAAGTTTCAAATATGTGAACTTTTGCAGATGTCTTCTTTCACAAAGACAATAAACCCCACAATGGTAGGGAATGTCTTTAATGTACCTCCATACCACCTGGCTGGCTCAGTGTCTAGCATGCGGTTCAGAAAGGCTGATGGCTAAGAGGCATCACCATCTCCTGGCTAAAGCAGAAGACAGCAAGTCCGTAACATCCTGAGGAACTGAAAACGTATTTGGAAAACTTCTGATTAAAGAGAAAGAATGAGTTAGATACTGAGAATCACGTTCCTAGTCTAGTTTAAAATTACCCGTCCCCTTCAAGAAGATGGAGAGTTCGCTGGAATATCTATGTCTCCTGGACTTTATCTTCCTTGATGCATACTCATTTGAGAAGCCAATCACACTTGGGAAAATATCACAGTAAACTCTCCTACTCAAAGTTGGGCAAAATGCGCAAGTAGATTTCATCTACTGTATGTGAATGTTGGTGTGTGTCTCAGACAGACAGGTGAGTTTGTTTCTCCTTTGGTAATGTTTCTTTTCTAGGTTACATTCACAGGCAATTTTTAACTTCTTGCAGCGGCAGGATTCCAGTGATACTTGTGACAATGGTGAGGAAGTAAGTCACTCTGCCTCCTGCTGGCCACAAACAGAAAGGTTGAGCTTTTGGCTTATGACCAGAGGTCACATTTCTCCTTCACAGACTTAAGAACTTATGAAGGAATGGAAGACTAAAAGGGAAAAGGAAGAGTGGGCTTCCTTTTTTGCTTAGCCTATACTAAGCTCTAGGTGTTAATAAACTAGATCAGATTCCTTATTTTGTGAACCAAAACCCGAGGTTGACACATTTTCTACACTAGCTACACAAACAAAAGGGATGGACAGGAGTCCAGAAAAGCCCTGATCTATACGCCAATATCCCTGTTCCCTCTCCCTGAGTGATGGAAGCGGCAAGCCCAGTCACATCCTGTATTAAGGGCCCCTGTTCCTTAAAACTCAGGGCCCCATACCAGCTTCTCCCCTGAATGCTGTCTTCAGTTTCATTTTCTTCCCTTTCCCCAAACCCCAATAAAACACACCAACTGCTTCAGAATATTTCTGGGTTGTGTTTTTTTGTGGGTCGTCTTCTTTTTTTTTTTTTTTTTTATTTCAAATACTCAAAAAGTCCCCTGGGCTCTGTGGGGCTCCCCACGCTCATGGCCCCTTTCCCCACACTCACTGCCCTTTTCCCCACAGCAAATCTATTTCAAGGACAGCACTTTTTAAAATGAACAATTAACATTGGGTTCTCAGCTTGCTCTGCGGGACCAGAGGGGTTGTTTGCTTCTGTCATCTTTAGATGGACAGTTTCTTTTATCTGACCCCAGGTCCCCAGCCACATCCAAGCAAACAAGGCATTTTTCTACAGAGCTGAATCAGAACTCTTCATCTGGAATCTGCTCCACTCCTCCCCCTTACACCCATCCCACACCAGCCACATGGTTGGGAAGGAAGATAGTCAGGAATGTTTTTATCAACTCCAAGTCCTATTTCATATCCCCCACAAATTTCCCATCCCACCCTCTCACAACCCCCCCACCCCACCCCCCAGGATTTCACTGAGATTTCTCCCAACAATTATTTGGAAAAAAGGTAAAACAAAAAAGGTTCAGGGTCTTGGTGCTCAGCCCAAGGGGCTCCATGCGCTGGGACACCGACGGGCAGGGGCTTCTGCCTCTCCAGCCCGCGCCCGAGCCACCTCCTGACCCCTGGCTGCCAAAGCAGGGAGGGGCAGGAGCCAGCACAGGACCCAGGAGGGCAGCGTCTCAGGATCTGGCGGAGCCCCGGGCAGCATCATTCAACTTGGCCACTGCGGACGAACACAGAAGAAGAAAAAGAAAACACTGTCAAGTAATAAGGGAAAAAATTCGAAGTTCCATCCCAGTCCCTACCCCATGACTCTTCCACACTTAACAATCATTAGGCTACCTGGCTCATGCCTGAATCTGATCCACAGACAGCTGGGGAGGGAGGGGGGAAGGGAGAGAGAAGGAGAGAGAGGTAGAGAAGAGAGAAGAGAGAAGAGAAGGGGGCAGGCCGCGCCGGGGGAGGGGAGGGAAGGCGCGGGGAGGGAGGGAGAGGGAGAAGGGTGGTGGTGGTGGTGGGGAGGGAATTTCAGTTTTTTTCTATCCACAAAAAGTGTTCTTTACCTTTTTGGAGATACCCATGAAAGCAATACAGAAAATTCTTTAGACAAAGATCACAATAACTGGAGGTTTGCAGGGGCATAAGTTGCCTGGCTTAGAGCAGGCTTGGTTTCACAGGCATGGCCACAGTCAGCTGTACGCAGCAGCAGAGACTGACAGGGGGGCTAAGAGTGATGAGGTGGTGACAGCATGTAGTCCACGGCCAGACAACACACGTGTTGTTCTGAGTGGATTTAATAATCTAGGTTTAATCAAAGCAATTTGGATCTGGATTTGGGAATGACCCTTCTTTGCCATGGACGTGATGTATTTCATGCTGTGGAAATAGGTGGCAAATACAAAATGTAGCTTGTTTCTTTGTTTCTTATCCTTGAAGATGACCAGGTAGAGAAAGAGCAAGATCAACAGTTTTCTGATTTCCCTATTTTTTCTATTCCTTCCTAAAAACCAGACTTGTGACCTCAGTCTTGAAGATTCAAATGACCAATAGAGAAAGCAGCGGAGACAGAAAAGAAAAAAGTACAAAATTCGAGAAGATCGGAGATGAAGAAAACGTACAAAATTATATATATATTTATATATATAATAACATGACATATCTATGTACAACATGGCTGGGACAGTTGAGGAAACTATACAAGGATGTTCAGCATTTTCCCCTTCCCACAAGGACTTTAGACTAAGGAAGACACCATGAGGAATGAAGCAAGAAACACAAAAATTATATACAATTACAAGTGACAGTCAAGGAGTTTGGGGGCCAGGAAATCCAGGGATCCTGCTCTCTCCATTCCTTCCTCACCAACTCTCTCCTACCCCATCTGAGTGACTGCCTGAAAAGTGAATGGCTGGTCAGGAAAGGAGTATACACACCTGCCAATCACTCTGCATGTGCACCAGCAAGTTCATGGTCATTCTCCTGCTAAATCTTTTCTTTTTTTTAAGTCTTATTTAAGTACTCTCTACACCCCACATGGGGCTCGAACTCGTGCATGCTCTTCCGACTGAGCCAGCCAGGCACCACAGGCCATTCTCATCAACCCAAAGGTTTGATGTATTAGGATTTGTGAGGTGAGAGAGCAAGAGAGAATTACAGAATCTTGTCCTCTTAAACAGTTAGTTGTTGCCCTGGCCCTCTCTGTCATAACCAGCAGTAGGATTCAGGCCAAGCTAGTGATAAGCAGACTGAAGACGCTGGTCACCTGCACCCCTCTCCTCCATCTGCTCTTGAATCTCCACTGCTGCTTCTCATCCCACAAGAGCTGAGTTACTGAGCCCTAGGAAGGCAGAGATTTATCAGTGCTCCATTTCTCGCCCCCTGACCATCTTCCTCCACCAGCTTCCTCCATGGTGAATCATCTCCTAGGAACCTGCTGCTCCAGCCCCACCACAGTACCGAGGCCTGGAGGCTGGCTCAGTTTGCCCCTTTTTTTCTGGTCTCCTTAGCAGTATGCCTGGCATCTGATCACATCTGAAACGTGGGACTCTACATGTGCGTGACTAAGCACGTGTCCTCAGGCCTGCAGCCTGGCTCCCAGAGCAGCTTTTTAGCAGCAAAGGCCCAGACTGGGGGCCAGGAAAGTGGGTGGGGGTAGAGGCAAGAAGCTTCCATAGAAGCTAGCTTCTTAGAACTTTTCCCTTGGCCTTAAGTCCATGATACTTATGAGGCCCTCTTGCCTGAATTTATAATCCCCAAATCTCAACTTCCTCTCTCCCCATGTAGTCCTCTAATGGTTCCCCTTTGTAGGCTCACCCACAGGCCTTCCTCACTTAGTTTTACAATGAATAGCACAGACTTTTTTTCAGCTGGCAGTTACAGGATTTTAAAATTCTAACCCATCTTATCTATATTCAGCTCTTTTACAGATGAGGAAATAGAAATCCACAGAGGTTAAATGACCAAGGTTACATATCAGTTCTGCTGAGATGGAGTGCAACTAAAACCCAGATATCTTGACTCCAAAGCCAGTGTGAATCTTTCCACTATCTCATGATATTTTCGAAAGCAACATGCTGGAAGAGAGAGAGAAGGTGCCCATTTCATGTGAATGAAGTTCTCCAATCTTTACATTATTTAAGAGCCACGGCAACCTGTAAGAGACACTCACTGAGTAAGGGAGGTTAGGTGGGCACTGTAGTTTTAGGCAAGCAAATCAGTTTTTCTTTTTGAGGGTTCTCTAAACCTGACACAATGGAAACACAAAGCAATAGCAGCCTAAGGGAAAAAACGCTTAGAAGCACAGAAAACAGATCTCATTCAGTCTACCTTTCCCAGCTATGTCGAATTAGCTTCTAGATGGAAATCTACCATATTATTCCCAAGGCTTAGCCTAACCAATTTTGGGATATTCTCTTCCAAAAGGAGAAATCACATCTCCCCAGTTTCTCATACAAAAGAAAAAGAGCATTTGCAGCATTATCCAATCCTAGTCTCTTATTTCTGGGCCCCTACCTGGGCTACAGTGAGGGTGCGAAAATCTCAATTTAATCAAAGAAATGAACTCAGAGCCCCTTTTCAACCCACATCACCTTCTCAGCAGCCCCCAGGAGAATCACAGTCATTTCTGGCTAGCAAGCTGAGAAGATCTAACTAGGTGCTCATTTCATCCCTGCCTATGATATATTAAAGTCCAGTGGGTGAGGAAGGGGAGAGAAGGGGGGGCCCAGGTTACCCCGCAAGCTTGCTGGTGACGAGTGAGGACTTTCTCTGGGGCAGGTCCTGTGGGGTGGGGATGTGGTCACCAGTCACCAGATTCTTGTCCGGTCCTGCACTTGGCAGCTGCTTGTTCTTCATCTTGGCTTTGGCCATGTTGTAGTCTCCTGAGTCAAAGTACTTTTGCTAGGAGACAAGAGGGATGTTTAGGTGAGTGAGGAACTCTGGCCTTCCTCGAAAGCAAGGAGACCCACATCCATTATAAACTCTCATCAATGCTTAGATTTTTCCAGTCTTCCTTGATTAACCTCATTACACAAATAGTTTAGCATTAATTACATGTACTTATGTCTTGTCTCCAATGTGCTCTGACATTTCAGGTTGTAGGCAGTTTCCTAGCTACAGTAGACATTTTATGAGCAAAGAGATAACCCCTACATCCTTTATACACCCATCAATACAGGATGGTTCAACCAAATTACTGACTATTCATTAAGGCTTACTGAGGACCTATTAGTCTCCAATGGGCTTGGTCCTGGGGAAATTAACAAGACATACAGAAGTGTCAATCTGGAGCTATCCTAGCAATCAGCAGGAGATCAACCTCAAGCCTACAACCTCAAAATTAAAAATGATTCCCTCAGACCATGAATAGAAATGGTTTGTTCATGAGGATAATGTACTTTTCCTCTGACTCCCACTGCTCCCACACATGTTCCATGGCTATGACAGCCTGCCCACGCCTGCCTTGCCTGCAGCAAGGTAAACTGCAAATCAGCATCACATCATCATCTGTGCCTAAGACTCAATAACTAGGATTCTCCACATGGATCTGTTTCACCGTCTATTTCATCCACACCTGGGAACGCCCTTAGGCAGTTTACTGCCTTACAATCTCTCAATTAGCTTCAGGTACCTACGGGGACTGAGAAACCTGATTGGGAGCTAGATGGCTATGAAAGCAGACCCTCCCTTGGTGAGGACCACCACTCTGGATGGAAAAATAAGTCTCTTGAAAGAGCACAGTTAATGGCTGGTGCTAATTTCAAGGGTCTGAAGAAAGCTATTCATTTCAAGCTGAAGAAATCTATAGGACAGATGGTTTGATCTTTTTTTTGAAATCATGCACCCCAAAACTTAGCTCTAATCTTAAAAAGTGCAGTCCTAAAACTCCCACCATTTAAACAGGCAAATGCCTGGGGGAGTCAGCATTTCAGTTTCTAACATCCTTCCTTCCCCCAATCCTCCAATGCCTCCCACATCCAAATGTCTCAACATTAAGCCTTCATACCCTGTATGATACCATATTAGGGATTTACAATAATTTGCCTCGCTCTTTACAAGTTTTTAATTCCTCTCTACTACTGCCCAACAGCAGAACCTCTGGATAAACATTCACAAGAGGCTCTACAGATCTCATCCCTAAAGACCCTTTTGGCTCCAGTAAGAGGATAAGAGATTGGGTCCCATACCCCTTTCTGGAGTCTCTTCATGAGGAAGTCGGAGCCTCCAGGCTTTTGTCCTAGGCTTGGATATTTGGCCTTTAGCTTTGCCTCCTCAGCTCTCTCAGGGAGAATACCTTCTTTCTCCTGTGTGTCCTGGAGGAAACAAATGGGCCAATTAAATTAAAAATTGAGAAGCAAGGGCACCTGGGTGGCTCAGTCAGTTAAGTGGCTCAGGTCATGATCTCATGGTTTGTGAGTCTGAGCTCCGCACTGGGCTTTGCACTGATAGTTCGGGGCTCTGCCTGGGGATTCTCTCTGTCTTGTCTCTCTCTCTCTGTGTCCCTCTCCCACTCACACTATGTCTCTCTCAAAATAAACCTAAAAACAAAAAAAGTTTTTATTTTTAAGAGAGCATGTGAGTGAGTGTGTGCATGCCCCAGAGCAGGGGAGGGGCAGGAGAGAAAGGGAGACAGAGGATCCAAAGCGACTCTGCGCTGAGAGCAGAGGGCCTGATGCAGGGCTTGAACTCACGAATGGTGAGCCGACCTGAGCCCAAGTCAGACATTTAAACTACTGAGCCACCCAGGTGCCCCATAAATAAATAAACTTAAAAAAAAAATTGGGAAGCAACCCTTCTAATATCTAGAATTTTTTAATGTTTATTTATTTTTGAGAGAGACAGAGTGTGAGGGGGTTAGGGGCAGAGAGAGAGGGAGACACAGAATCCAAAGCAGCCTCCAGGCTCCGAGCTGTCAGCACAAAGCCTAACGCGGGGCTCGAACCCACAAACCATAAGAATGTGACCTGAAGTCATGGGACGCATAACCAACTGAGCAACCCAGGAGCCCCTAGTAACTTTATACTATCAACTTTTCCTGGAAATCTACCCTCTTGTGAATATACTGTCTCTACCCTGCTCCTAAACAAACCTAGACTTTTGTTCAAATCTTTAAAGCTCAAGATAACTGTATTGTGAGAAAACACACACACACACATACACACACACTCTGCTTCTCACACTATGCTTAAGGAACCACTTCAGTGACTTGGAGTTAAAAATAGTACCTAAACACAATTTTTCAATCAAGAGCAAACCATAGCTTATTCAGCAAAGGAGCTAGGAAAGAAAGAAAAGAGCTAACTAGGGCTTCTGGTGATCCAAGAGGAGTAGGAAACTTCCCTGGCTATCCCTAACACACAGTACAGGTCAAACAGGAAATCAAAGGGGATAATTCTGCTGAGATGTTCCCTTTTACCCCAAGTCTAAGGCAGTCATCTGATTTAAGCCTCTCTGAGCTATGTGGCCTTCTCCAAATGTCTCTACCTTAATAAAGGAACAACGTTGCTTCAACATTTCCATAAACCTTAGGTAGGAAGGTAACAGGTAAAGAGATAAAAATGACACTATTTTTAACCTCAAGAAAATTAAGACACAGGAGGTTCACTTGTATTTACCCACAGTTTTTGCCAAAAGGTCAACACCTTCCCCAGTGGGGCAAGTGATGGAAGTTTAGGGAACATGCCAAGAACTTGGAATTGGCTTGCAGGGGCTCTCACCGTAGTTATTACTCTCTTCTTGTTTTTGTGGGCCCCAATGCCCTTTTCTTTAGTGACTTTTTAAAGGGACCTAAAGCCGGGGTGCCTGGGTGGCTCAGTTGGTTAAACATTTGACTCTTGGTTTCTGCTCAGGTCATGATCTCATGGTTTGTGAGTTCAAGCCCTGAGTTGGGCTCTGCACTGACTAAGGAGCCTGCTTGGGATCCCCTCTCCCTCTTTCTCTCAAAATAAATAAATTAAAAAACATTTTTTAAAAAAGGACCTAAGGGGGTGCCTGGGTGGCTCAGTAGATTAAGCGTCCGACTTCGGCTCAGGTCATGATCTCGTGGTCCATGGGTTTGAGACCCGCGTGGGACTCTGTGCTGACAGCCTGGAGCCTGGGGCCTGCTTCGGATTCTGTGTCTCCCTCTCCTTCTGCCCCTCCCCACTCCTCTCAAAAAAATAAATGTTAAAAAAATTATTTAAAAAAGGACCTAGGGGCGCCTGGGTGGCTCAGTAGGTTAAGCGCCTGACTTCTGCTCAGGTCACGATCTTACGGTTAGTGGGTTCGAGCTCCGCATCAAGCTCTCTGCTGTCAGCACAGAGCCTGTTTCAGATCCTCTGTCCCTCCTATCTCTGCCTCTCCCCCGCTCACAAGTGCCTCCCCTGCGGGAGGGAGGAAGGAAGGAAGGGAGCGAGGAAGGGAGGGAGGGAGGAAGGGAGGGAGGAAGGAAGGAAGGGAGGGAGGGAGGAAGGGAGGAAAGACCTAAGAAAGAAAGGAAGAGAAAAGAAAGAAAGAAAAGACCTAAGGCAATTTGTGTCTCTTTTTAATGTAATTATATTTCTTTCCCTTGAAAATCTGGCAGATATATCAGGTGCCTTTCACAACGCCCTGAGCCCAGTACTAAATGTTGTAAGTCAAATACAAGCCCCAAGAAGAGGTTTATTTGGGGTGTTTTTATCACAGAATTGTGGGTGAACTAAGTCCCATTGCCTTGGAAGTCGGGGTCGTGGTGGAAATAGGGTGGAGTCTCTCTTGTCACGATTCCTTTCGTGTCTTTCCTAGGTTTAATCTCCATTATGCTTTATGGATCTCTAGTCCTCTTCAGTCCTGTTAGTTCCCAATTGAGGCTGGGGAACAGTGGGACCCCAACCGTCAAAATAGGTCTCTTGAGAAAGTTGCCGCCTTAAAGTAGCCATGATTAATAATTACTTCTCCCTTCGCCCAATGCTGGTCCTTCTTAATCGTCTCTACTTCCACCTGTATCCTTCTGATTGGGAACCCAGCCTAGCTGCTAGGCCTTTTACCCCCCTCTACCAATAACACACATCGCTTCTCAGGACCACCTGCCCCCTTTCATTCACCCAGTCTTTCCAAACACCCGCCCCGCACCCAAGCTTGGCCAATGATAGCACCTTTTCAATGTGTTGAGCAGTAGGCCTATTGGCCAATCAGAAAGAGTAAGGCACTGACTGACAACGGGCCCAACTAACCAGCCCCAGAGCTGCAAGCTGTGTTAAAGCTCACCCTGCGTGACGCAAGAAGTGGCCAACCCCTGCAGAGCCTGAGACCATGGCGACCAATCCGCACTGGTGGGAGACCGTCTCCCGCCCCATCACGGTCGCCCCCCAGCTCGCCGGCCCGCACCCCCTCCATTTCACCTGCTTCTCCTCGCCGGTCTCCTCCGCAGGGTTCTCCTCTTCTTGTTTCTGGGACATGGCGGGACCAGGACTGTGAAGTGTAGGGGGCCCGGGAAGTCAACCGGAGAAGGGAAGGGGGAGGGGAAACGGGGACAACCTGCGCTGCTTCTTCGGCTCCTGTCACTAGGGTTGCTCAGTCAAAATGGCGGCCCCTGCCTGTGACGTTATGGCCGCCCCTTCCTATGGGAGCCAATGGGAGTGAGGTAGATAGGGCAATGACGTAACGATCTGCCAATAGTCGCTGGCTAGAGGTGGGTTCTTTGAAGGCGACAGGCAAGCTGGAACACCAATGTGGACACAGAGTGAGCTCCGAGGACCAATTGGGAGCCCGTGGGGGTGTTAGCGGGCGGCGCAGCTAGCTTTGGCATTTTTGCTCCTTTGGTGGGACGAGATTTCTTTCTGTCTACGGCCCGGCACCCAGAAGGCTTTGCTGAGCTTCAAACTGGAGAGCGAAAAGATGGGAACCTTTCATTTTCAGATAAAGAGGATTAAGCTTTGTGCAGTGTTAGCAGAAAACTCTCAATCTTCAGAAAATAATTTGGAAGTCAGAGTATACCTTAAATTGGTACTCAACGCTGTTGCCATGTATGTACTTGGTGTTTGGAGCGGAGAGACTGGGACCCCAAACCAAGTTGTCTTGCACAGAAGGCTTTACGTTCCATGATTTAACACTTCTGTACAGTTTTTTACTTGTTCAGGGTCAGCCCATGGAGACTAAGTTCCTTGAAACGGAGACCACAGTTCTAGGTACATGGTAAACAGTAAATACAGTTAACACCAGTTAACGTATCCTGAGTCACAGTTCAACAGTATTTCTTGAGCGTCAGTGTGTAGATGGTAATATATTAGTTTTACGGCGGTACGTATAGAATAAGACAGTCTCTGCTCTTAGCTTAATGGACATGTGGGGAGGGGTTTCACAGTGTGCCAGGTGTACCCTCAGATTAAGTAGACACATCCTCCTGGAGTGTCAGTCCACATTTTTATATTAAAAACAAACATTAGTTTAATACTAATAACACTGCAAAATTCATACTAAAGTTTAATTTTCCAGGCAGCTTCTTGTGACAGCCTTGGGGCTATCTGTTCATTTTTTTGTATAATTAGGTGTACTTCTGGAAAAGTCTGAGAAGCACTATAATATGCAATTATACCAGGCAAAATCTGGTAAGCATTGAAATAAAAGTGTTAATAAAGTGTTATAGGGGTTCGTAGGAAGAGTCATATTCAGTTTAGATTCCCTACCACCTGTGACCAAGAAAAAAAAAGACTTCATGGGGTGGGGGGTGGCACTTGAAATAAGGGTTTTTTTTTGTTTTGTTTTTTATTCAAGTAAACTCTACATTCAACGTGAGACTCAACCAGCTTGTGACTGAATTAGCCAGGTCTCCCTGAGATAAGTTTTAAAGAACTCAGCAGTTTTCTGGGTAAAGGTGAAGGAAGGAAGGGTATTCCAGGTGATAGGTGCAACACAAAGGCTAGTAAAATAGAATCGAGTGCAGAACATGGAGGGCTTTGAATGCCAGGATAAGGCACTTGTGAATAATTTAGTAATCCATGAGAGAGACATTTAAGGTTTTTAGGCCAGAGAGTGGACAGATCAGAACTTCCCCTTTAGGAAGATTCATTTGGAGATAATGAATAAAAATAATTCAGAATTCCATGCAGAAAGACCCTAGAAGTGGCAGTCTAGCCAGGAGTGCACTACAATACTCTAGGTGGAAGAGAATTGGGATTTAAGCTAGAAATGTAGTTTATAGAAAACTGTGAACCTAATTGAGAAAGTCTGTGTCTATGAGATTCACAGCTGAGTGAATACAGGGAATGAGGCAGCCATGTGCTTCAGGGTAATATTTGCAGAAATAACTCAAGAAGAGAAGTCAATATGAGAATGGAATTGGAAACAGAAAATGAGGAGTTCAGCTTTGAGAACATTGACTTTTTAAGACAAATGGGCCATTTGGTGGAGTTATCCAGGCAATGAAGCCTTTGGATAAATGACCCGGGATCTCCAACATAGCTACCATTTTAGAGGTCTAGGAAATGTAGACCTAGAGTTTGGGAGAAAAGTAGAAGGTCACTATGAGCAAAACTTGGACTTCTTCATGTAAATGTAAGTAAAGTTGTGGAAGTAGATGAGATCACCTAAGGAGAATGAAAAAGAGTCCCAAGATGGAAAATTGGATAAAAGTTGGCAAGGGACACAGACACAAATGATCAGAGGGGTAAGGAGAAGAACCAGGAAAAAAGTGACAGAAGTTGAAGATGGAGGGGACAAAATTGCATGCAGTTAAAGAGTGAGGAAGTGATAGCAATATTCAACAGTAAAGCAGAGGAAGGAATTAGAATAATGAAAAGGAGGCAGAACTCTGTTTTCTTTTTGGGAAAACAGACACGATTCAAGCATGTTTTCAGAAAAGGGCAAGAGGCTAATTGAGAGAAACTAAAAAGGCAATTCGTTTTGTTTCAGTTTATTTATTTTTGAGAGAGAGACACACACACACAGAGCGTGAGTGGGGGAGGGGCAGAGAGAGAGAGTGAATCTGAAGCAGGCTCTGCACTGCCAGGGTAGAGCCTGATGCAGGGCTTGAACTGTGAGACCATGACCTGAGCCGAAGTCAGACACTTAATGAACTGAGCCACCCAGGTTCTGCTGTAATTATCCATTACAAAAATTTTTTTTTCAACGTTTTATTTATTTTTGGGACAGAGAGAGACAGAGCATGAACGGGGGAGGGGCAGAGAGAGAGGGAGACACAGAATCGGAAACAGGCTCCAGGCTCTGAGCCATCAGCCCAGAGCCCGACGCGGGGCTCGAACTCCCGGACCGCGAGATCGTGACCTGGCTGAAGTCGGACGCTTAACCGACTGCGCCACCCAGGCGCCCCCGTAATTATCCATTTTAAAGAGAAGATAAAGAATTAAAGTCTCAGGGGAGATCATTAGATCAAGAGGGAGAGAAACAGATGTGTTGAAGGGGAAATTGTACAGAGAGATTTTGAAGTAGTTAAACATTTAAGGAAGTCACGTTGAACATCCTTGCTTTTCTGCAGTCAATCTTTTGAGAATAAAAAGGATGGCAGGGTGGAATAGAGAATCTAGGAAAGGTGGGGGTAGAAACAGCACTATAGAAAATAGCAATGATTCCTAAAAGATCTAAGATTAGATAGGTATGGATTTGTAGTAGTCTTAATCACCATGGCTTTGTGACTTTGGTCAATAACTCCTGGCTGTCTTGATATGGAGAAAACAGCCAGCCTGTTAATAGGGACAAAGGACTGGTAAAGAAGGAACAGTGGAGGGAAGACAATGAGGAAGTCCATATTGGTTTGCCAGTTTGTTGAAATACCTGACCATAGCATCGAGGCTCTCTAGGAAGGACGGAATAGAAAGGCGATGGAGAACTGGGCATGACACAGAGGAAGCTCAGATTTGGTGGGGATGCTAAGAGGCAGAAGAGTAGGAGGTCATAGTGAGGGGAATTTGAGGGTGTATCTAGGAAGGTGGAGAAATTGCAGGTTACGACGAGCTCCAGCCTATAATTGTAATTGATGGTAGATATGCAGGGATATAAAGTCACTGACTTTGATGTAATTAAGCACACGTGAAGTCACAAATGTTGAAGTCTCAGAGCATAATGATAGGGAAGGGGGTTAGGACAGGGTGACTGTGACCCATAGTCATAGGTGGGAATGAGCTATACGTCTCCAACGTATGTATTTAAACACATAAGTCACCACATTGTGTGCCTTACATTGTGTAGAAAAGCTACAGTATTAGGTAAGTATGTATGACACCAAATGGGTTGTACTCATAAGTGTTTAAAAGATCATTTCTAGCTGAGCTGGGCAAGGAATGTTTCAGACAAGGCGGAACCTGAACCCAGACCCTAAGGATGAATAGGAAGGTTGGAGATTGGCAGAGGGTGGGGGAGGAAAGGAAGACAATTTAGAGGACAACCTTATCTTATAAAAGGTTAGAGGGTAACTGAAGACAATGGAAGAGGGAGAGGGAAACTATAGCAAGGGTAACAATTTCTTAGGGGGAGAGAGAGCCTGCTAGCCCAATCTGTATTTTTGAAAATCTCCCTAAGGACAGTCTATAAATAAGGCTAATCTAGGAACCTGTGTGGAAGCAGCAAACCATGAAGCTGTTCAGGTTGCCAGGGTCCTGAGGAGACTCGTAAGTCATAGTCAAGTGTTGGGGTTTCATGAGGACACAGGGGAACCTGATTTCAAGCAGGAAAATTGTACTGTTAGACGGGATTTGTAAAGACATAACTGGAGTAGCTGGGTGGAGAGTGGACTGGAGGAAAGGCGAGACCAGCTGGACATCTGCTTGTGGTAGGCCAGGTGAGACTTGAGGCCTGATCAAAGGCAGAAGCCATGTAAATGAAGGAGCCGAAGAGACAAATGATACCGGAGGTGGTGAATAAAGATGAGAGAACCAAGGATGAATCCCAGGTTCCTGAGTGAAGTGCCATTTACAGAGAAGCAAATCTAAGAAGAGGCAATTGGAGGGAAGAAAGTAAGGAGAGAAGAAGACCTGAACTTCTTACCTTTTGGGTTTTTTTTCTTGCTTATGTCTGTTTCAGGTCAGGACCTAAATATATTTACAGTATGGGATGGGATATCTGGGAATAACACTGTACAACTTGCCAATGCATAAGCTACTTTCTACAGAAGAATGGCCATAAAAACAAAAACAAAAACAAAAACAAAAAATGTGAGACTGCAGAAATATCTGGGTCTCTTTGCACCCTCTGATGGGCCAAATTGAGAATATTAGGAAATTAACCAAGCTCTATCATCTCCTTGCCTCCTTAACAAACTTATACTCTTAGAACTGGCCCGAAGTGTAGCCTGAGGACAGGAGCTAAGTGATCAAAATAATACAGTTAAAGATAAATTTCAAAAAAGGAAAAACATGTTGGGGCGCCTGGGAGGCTCAGTCTGTTAAGCATCTCTCCCCCTCCCTCCTCTGCCCCTCTCCTGCTTGTGCTCTCTCAAAGTGATAAACTTTAAAAAAAAAAAATTATCTTTTTCTCCCTCTGTCCCTCTCCCCCACCCGCTTGTATGCGCTCTAAAATTAAAAAAAAGAAAATTATGAGGAAAATCATAACTTACACAAATGATGGAATTAATGAGGTATT